TGCTGGTGTGTATTTTTGGTGTGGAATGTAATCACACCTCCGCTGTACCTAACAAGATCAGTGGGAAATTGACCCTCCATTTTGTGACAATTTATCATTGAACTATAGCTGTGTGATTTCAGAGGGTTTTGAAGGGGTTTTTTTCCTAACACATAGCCTGTGAGAACAGTTTTCCCAGGGGCCTACAAATATTAGTTTCGACAATGGCCTTCTAGATCCCTGGATGGAGATGCAGAAGGCTCTGTTTTTTAAATCACTAACAGGATCATAATTCCACTGCAGAGAATTTGCCTTATGTGCAGGAGATCCAATATCTGATCCTTCATTTTAAAGAATTATGGAAAGCATGGCTGGGACAGAATGTTACCCAAGAATCACTCCAGAATGGTTGATGTTGGGATATTGGACCATTTAATAAAATCCCTTCATCACTACTCAAAATGTTGTATGACCTGTAACGACCCGTGTTTATGTTGGAGATTCCCACATTTCTTTGTACCTATAAGCCATTTTAGCTAGATGGATGAAGGGAAGCAACTTCACAGTTGTTCCTGCACCTGTTTCTCACCTGGCCCATTGTTTGTCTCTTCAAGGTGTAGTTCAGATAGGCTTTTTTGTATTAATGTATTTTTTAAATAAATCCAGCTTTTACTTTAAAGATAATAAATGTCTGCCAGCATTCGTGTATACCTGGACTAAGCCCATATTCTGCATCCAAGACAGCTATAGTATGAATATTTGCATTTTTCTTTGAATGGGACATTCTGCAACATGATTACTAATATTTTGCTTATCTTCAGGTGCACATCCTCCAGCAAAGACTTCTGCTGAATTCAGATCTCCAAAAGCTACTGAACCTAATCATGCCAATAATACTTAATAACCTCAAGCAACTTCATCATCAGTTATCTCTGCATTATCCATTTAAAGTAGGCCACTACTATTCATCTTCAGAGCATCAATATGGTGCTAAAGCTTAAATACATGGGATTAGCCACAGAGTACATGATTAAGATGATGTATGATAGGTTAAATTCCTGTTCTTTGTGCACACACTAAATTATAACCCGATCAAGGTGTCCATACGGTCCTTTTCTCCACTCATGGGGTTACTCTTCATCCGATTCTTCACTACTTTCATCTGGA